GGTGTCTGCACACACTCCTGCATCCTAGCAGTGCCAGGGTGTCCCCACTATAAAGTGCCACTGTCCTGTGCTGGCTGCTCTTCTAGCACGTGGCAAGCACAGTTCAGGTGGCTGTATGGACTGATGCGTGCACAGGTGTGGGGAAGCAGAGGCTCCCCGCCCAGCCTCTCCCCCACATGCACACATGTCTTTGCGTGTCCTGTGGAGGTGCCTGGGTGGGCACATGTTGTGTCCTTCCTCGTCAGGTTTCACTTCCCCCGACAACGCACCTCACCCCCAGAGGGCTAATTGCTTCTCTCCTTCCCCCCGCTCTTGCTTTCATCCATTTATTCAACAAAGATTTATTGGGTGCCTGCCACGTGCCAGACAGTGCGAGCCTCTGGGAATACGAAGATATACAACACACCATTCCTGACCTCAAGGATTTTAAAGTCTGGAAATGGTGACAGTTAAGAAAATGGGTGATTAAATAGTATGGTGGAGACTGCATTGAAGGAGCAGCTCATTCCGCCTCGGGAGGCTGGGGAAGGTTTCCTGAGAGAGAGTAGGTTGGAGCTGAAATGTGAGTCATGAGAAGCTGCGGGACCAGACAGAGGGGTGAGTGTGAACCCGGGCAGTTCTCAGACAAGGAAACCACACGTGCCATAGCCACAGGGGAGTGGAGCTCTGCGTGGTCCAGAACCATCTGTGGTCCAGTGGCTGTAGCAAAGGCTGGTCAAGGGGCTGCAGAGTGATCTTGAGATGCGGAAGGGGTGATGGACAGGGGCTCTGTCCCCGAAGGTCTCATTTGAGGAACCACCAGGGACTTTTACTTGATGCTATTTGCAGAGCAGAGGATGGAGCCAAAGGTGGGTCTGAGAAGAGGCAGAGCAAGAGGTCAGGAACCTTCCTGTGTTGTGAAGGTTCCAGTAAGGGGTCTGCAGGCAGCTAGGTAAGGCCTGGCAATGCTGAGCAGGTGGAGATGACCCTGGATGTGGCCTGACATCTCCCTCTCCAACCTAGGAACCACAATGGGCTTGAGCTGCTAGAAGCCTCTACTGGCTCTAGGCCTCAGCTTCCCACCATTGGCAGCAAAGGAGTCCCTTGGGAGTCACTGGGAGAACTGCAAAGGCTCAAGTGACCCAAGCACCTACCTGAATCTGAGCCGCCTTAGCCAAGAGCACTGGGCAAGGGGGGACACACATGTAGGGGGTTCCTACCTAATGTTCCTGGAGCACATCCACTGATCGCACCTTCCTCTGACCCCAGCAGTGTGCCCTGTCCTGAAGGTGACCAGGCACAGTTGCCAGGGCCAGGGCTGGCAGGGGCTGCAGCCAGCGCCCGCTCTGGGGAGGGAGGTGGGGTGGAGTCAGGCCATGGTGGAGCATTCTCAGGCTAGCCCGGCCAGGGCCCCTTTCTCTCCATGAGATCATATCTGGGTCAAAGAGCACGTAAAGCTGGCAGGGCTGGCGGTCACACAAAGCCCATTCAGGCCAGCCCCTATTCACTCACCTCCTCTCCCCCAGAGCCCGGGCTGCTGCGACCCCAGAGCAGAGCCTAAGCCCTGGCTTTGATGTCCAAGAACAGAAAACGGCGATTAAATGTTGTTTTAAAGAGGGAGTGCTCACTGCCCTCCCATCTGTCAAGAGAAAGCTGAGGCCTGAGGGAGGGGAGGGGCGTGGGGGGAGGGGCGAGAGGTGGAGGGGGCAGGGAGTGAGTGTCTGGCAGAGCCAGGGCTCCAGGCCCACGAGAAGGTCAGATGTCGTGGGGGAGCAGAGACAGCCACTCACAATCAAAACAAATAGAACTTTGGCCAAGAATTGTTTTCCACGACAAGAAACAGGGGAGAGGGAAAATGACATGGGACAGAGAAATAAGGGGGCGGGGGTTAGGAAGGAGAAGAGAGGAGTGGAAAGGAGAAAAAGACTGGGAGAGAAGAAGGGATAGACGGGAGGGAGGAGAAATGAAAGGGAGAAACACAGAGCAGAGAGTAAGACAGAGGAGAACGTAGGGAGAACCCAACTGCTAACTGCTGGAGGCCACCCTGCTACATCCCTTCCTCTTCCTAGCCAAGTGGTCCCCAAGTAAGCACAGCTCCAGGCAGTCCCAGCTCAGCACCCCATGGTCAGACACACCCAGCCTTGGCCTTGGCGGGGAAAGCAGGGGCAGAGAGGCCACCCTTCCTGGGCAGGCAGGCTGAGCAGTCTCCACTCGGGTGGGGATAGCACACAGGGTGATGGCTCCCAGTGACTCCCCCTAATGCAGGATGCTTAGGGGGAGTCAGCCCTGATGCTTGGCACAGGTTTGCCACGCTGGAGTGACCCACGGCTGCAGTCATGGCTCGTGTCCCCTACATCTGAGTGAAAAGACAGGCTGTTTGGGTCGGAGACAGGCAGTTAGGATGGCCTCAGGCAGAGACACTAAAGCCCACATCTCTCTTGGGAAAGACGGGTAGCGTGATGTTCCCATCCCCAGCAACAGGAAAGGAGGAATGGCTGGCCTGCAGACAGGGACATGAGAAGCGGGTGGGAAGGTACCCTGCCATCGAGTGTGCGGAAACCCTTTATTCTTTGGGGGGCAATGCTGTGTTCCTCCCTCCCATGTGTGCTCTCCCTACACAAGGCCACCAGCTCCAATCTCCTTTCTCAACACTTCTGGGCTGCCACAGACCCACGGACCTTTAATTGGGTGGAAGCTTCTTGTTGAGAAATTTCTAAAGTTTGCTAAGCTATCAGGAATAAGACTAGGCCGGGTGCAGTGACTCACACCTGTAATCCTAGCACCCTTGGAGGCCGAGGCAGGACAATCACTTCAGCTTAGGAGTTTGAGACCCACCTGAGCAAGAGCAAAACCCCATCACTACTAAAAATAGTAAAAATTAGCCAGGGGGTGCCTGTTAATCCCAGCTGTTTGGGAGGTTGAGGCAGGAGGATCACTTAAATTTAGGAATTTGAGTTTGCTGTGAGCTAGGCTGACGCCATGGCACTCTAAGCTTGGGGGAGGGAAGGAGGGAAGGAGGGAAGGAGGGAAGGAAGGAAGGAAGGAAGGGGAAAAGAAAGGAAGGGAAGGGAAGGAAGGGAAGGAAGGGAGAAAGGGAAGGAGAGAGGAAGGGAGGGAGGAGAGGGGAGGGGAGGGGAGGGGGAGGAAAGGAGAGGAGAGAAAAGAAGAAAAAGAGTTAAGACAGGTGATCACTGCCTTGGGAGTTCTGGTACCAGGAGATGAGGATGTTAGTTCTGATTGCTTCTCACAACGGTGTGATTCTGAGCAAGTTATCCTAACACAGCAAACGATCCCAACCTCTGGCTTACTAGCAGCTAACGCTATAAAGCCAAGGGTTTGTCTATTTGGCTCCTTGCTATATTCCCAGTATTGACAGCAGTAAGTGCTACCAGGCAGTCTTGCTGAGTAAATGAGTGAACGCCTACTTAGCATGTGGTACCAAGGATCAAAGGATATTCATGTATTTCACGATTTTTTAAACTAAAAAGTATCAGAAAAATATGTTACTGAGTCAGTATATACCTGGTTAATGTGGCCTAAACATACCACATAAATAAGGCAGAGTGTGCGTAACCCAGGGCTTGCTCTTCCCGTCCTCATGCAGACATCTCTGTCCCTCGACCACATTCCCCACCCCAGAAAAGGCAGAAAAGACAGAATACTTAAAAAAGAAAACAGAAGGGGGACACTTCAAGCCAGAGACAACTGAATTAACTTTATTCTCTTCTAACTGCAGATTCAAGGTATACAACTGAACATTGCTATTTTTCTTATGAGACTTATAAATAAAAATACAAAAAATGTTCACTACAAAAAAATCTACTGTTAGTAGGATGTAAAAAATATTCTCTTTGCTATAGAAGGCACAAACTTCACTTAGTGACACATGGAAAGAGAAAAAAACCTGCAGCAGTAAATTCATTTTTTCTTTTTTTCTTTCTTTTTTTTTTTTTTTGAATCTTGTCCGAAACACCGAAATTACAAAGAAAACGCATCAATCTACACGAAACAAAGGCAGATGCGGAAAGCTGCAACCAGGACCGCACAACTTCGAGGGAACTGCTTCAGAACTAGAACAGATAGGACGGCCAAGCACGACTCTGGGGAGCAGGCTGGGGAGGGCAGGAGGGGAGCAGGAGGAAAGAGAGAGGGAGAGAGAGGATGGAACCCACAGAAATAAGGGGGGAGGAGGGCGGTCAGAAGATGGGGGGGGAGAAGGAAGGGGGTGAGGAAGAGAGATTGATTTTGTACAAAAAAGTAACCAGTAAAATTGAAGAAACAAAATTGGGCAACCTCCTAAAATTAGGCTAAGAGGAGGTGCTGAGGTAGACATTAACTAGAACATCGATGAATTAAAAACACTATTCTGTAATACAGAGCGATCCGACTGGCACTTGTGCTGTCACGACATAAGACAAGCCACAAAAACAAACAAATAACAAAACAAAACGTTAATACCCAAACCAAAAGGCTTAGTTTTGCTTGGTCCAGCAGGGCGGCAGGGCCCTCAGTGCTATAATTTACATACATATATATATATTTATCTTTATATATATGGGTTGGATGTCATGGTGCACCACCACGGCTTCTTAACCTCACGAAGTTCATGCATAACACTATGGGAACAAACACTATGATACACACCAGGAGGCTGGTACCCTGTCTGCAAAGTGGGATGCTGAGGACCCAGGGAGGCCGCAGCTGCCGGCTGGCGGGCCTGCAGGACCCGCGTCCCTCCTTCTCTCCACCCCTTTCCCCGACCCAACCTCCCTGGTTTGTCCTGTGCCCCTCTTGACCATCTCTCTACCCATCAGTCCCACCGCATAGGGTTCGTCTGGCTTTTTGTTCTCCCACTGAAATACCACTTAAGTGCTGCCATTCCAGCTAAGCCAGCAGAAACTCCAGGGAGGAGGAGACCGGGTGGGAGGGGCTCGAGGACTACACAGCAGGCCTGGGAAAAGTGAAGCAGGAGTCCGATCTCGTCTGCTTTTCTGCTTCCATCTGGGTGCGCCTCCTTTTCACCCTAGTTTGGCTTGTCAGAGAACTGGCCAAAAATCCGCCCCCTACAACCCTTCATGGACAGACTCCCAAGGCCGCCGCCCCTCCGCTCACTCCCCCACGAGGAGGCAGAAGCCCCTGGCCCCCTCCCGCCCACAGCACTTGTACCAACAGCATCCAGAAAGGTACCATACACTTGTGAAAAATTGCAGCAATTTCTTTTTTCTTTTCTCTAAACATGGAAAAACTGTTCAGGCACAAAGATTAAACAAGCCCGCATTACATCCCTGGATTGTACTGAATCACTGGGGGCCCCCAGCCTCCCTCCCCACCCCGGTGCCCCAGATCCGCCTTCCCCATATTCATGGCCTCCTTCTCCAAAGCAGCCCAAGCAGCAATGATATTTACTATCTTAAATCTCTCTCGCTATATATATATATATATATAATCTATATATATTTGTCTATCCTATATATACGTAGGATTTTAATGCTTTGAATGAGTGAAGGAGTGAGCAGGGGAAAAGAGCATGAGGGGAAAATTTCACCAGAAGCATTAAGGGACAGACTTGTAGGAGCTGGACATGAGAAAGGGACCTTTAACTAGGACTTCCCAGGCTAGAGAAGGGTTGCTCTGCTGGATAAGGCAGCAGCAGGCAGGGTGCTCAGCAGGACCGCAGCCAAGGGCAGCGAGGTGGCCACAGAGCCAGAGGGCAGTGAAGACACTAAGCTCTCGCCTGGGGAGAGAGCCACCCCCTTCCTCCCACTGCCCCACCCCTTCCATTCCAGGCCTATCTAAAGCCTTCTGATTTACCTCGCCCCTTGGCCATCAGGCCTTGCCGACTTTAGAACTGTTTTGTCTTTGTGAGTAGGTAGCTGGGGAAGAGAGGTGTTGTTGGACTGTATTCGGGTGTCTTCTTGGAGAGCAGAGGGGGCAGCATGGCAAGCACAGGGGTATCCCCGGTCTAGGCATCCTTAGAATCCACACTCCCCTCGGGCCTGGGGGTGGGGGGCAGGCAAGTGCTGACTAAGTACCATCTAATGCCGCAACACCAGATCACAACACTGCATGATGTAACTCACAACCGCACACACAAAGCACACAGGCACTCGTGCACACACACACACACACAGGGGGGCATTTTGGTGGTGGTGGTAGTGAATTTTTTGTCTTTTTTTTTTTTGTTCTATTCACATTACAAAAGGAAAGGGCAAGGGACTGTGGAACTGACGAAGGAACTAACAAATATTACAAAAATATTACAATTTGTAAAGATTAGCTCAACCCTCTCAGCTTCTATGAATGGTGGTGGGGAGGGACCCAGGCTGAGTGTAGAGGGCAGGGGAGCAAGGGGGCCGGCTAGTTCTATGGAATAGTTTGGTTTTTTCATTTTCCTTCCCCACCGAAGTTGAACAACATCTTGCTGTTAGAAATACTGTTTTCTGGGATTTACAGATCCCCCTGAGGGCCAGCTAGGCCTCCCTGCCTCCCAGACTGGGGAAGGAAGTTCTAGTGCATAATGATTTCTTAGAGACTGCCCCTCCCCCAAGCGATTTCACTCTTTTCACATTGTAGACATGACAACTGTTCTAGTCGCATAGTTCAAGTTTAACTTTTTTTTTCCTTTCCAAAACCACTACATCATTATTATAGTTGCAAAATAGCATACTCCCTACTTTATCATCCCTCATCAACAGTCTAGCGACACAGTTCCCCCAATTCACATCCCCCCCCCCAACACACAATGTTTAAGGCCTTCAGATTTGGTGGACGAGATTGAAGGGGAGGGCAGGAGGGATGGAGCTGAGGGACGGGGGGTAAGTCACAGCAGCACCCATCCCTCCAGCTTCCCTACACTCCTCACAACCCTTCTCCCCAAAACCGCTTCCCTAAACCACTTTTTAAAACCTAAGATCAAAACGCAGCCACAACTTTCTCAGCGAGAGAAAGGAAAAAAAGAAAATAATAATAATAACAATAAAAAACTCTGACACATAAAGCATGAGATGAAACGGAGGGCCCGTCCCAAAGCAAACAACGGATATTGCAAATGTGCTTTCCAAAATTAGGGAGGAGGGGGTGGGGGAGAGCTTGGGGAAAGGAGGGGGGGGGAGAGCAGCAGAATGGGAGGCAAGGAGGGACCAAAGAATAACGGGACAAACATAAGAGGTAGCTTTTAGAAAAATAACACCCCCACCCCAACACAACAAAATAAAGGCCGCTTCACCCCCTGGCCCGCTGAGAGAAAAAGACCCAATTTTGGCAATGATAAAGCACGTAGAGTTGGGGTACAGTTGCAAGAATCTGAATAGCACGCACCCTCCAGCTTGAACAACCCAGCAAATAGAGTGTTCTGTGCGGAACTGCTGCTGGGCACAGGTGACTCCATGCTCCAAGCAGAGCCCAGGGGTGACTCCCGAGTGCTCCAAGGGGGCAGTGAGGGCTGATGTACCATCCCCTCCCAGCCCTCACTTTTAGATACTGTGTGTCAACCCCTTCACACAGCTCCTTCTCGCTGGAGGCTGGTCTTCAGGGGCATGGGGTGGCCCTGGCCAGCTGAAGTCTATAAAAACAACTATTCATTTACACAAGAAACAGAAAAGGATGCCCTCCCCATTCCTTTTACCCCCAACAACAACAACAAAAAAGAGATACAGAGGTTAAAAAAGCTCATGAGGTCACAAAAAACTGAGGTAATTCAAGTACAATGTGCTAAAAGGGGACACGGAAACAGAAGCAAAATGTAACGCAAGGCCAAAGCGCTTTCAACTCCTCCTCCCCCCTCCCCGTGGGCTGAGGGGCCCTGTGAGTCGGGAACTCTGTGCTACTCCCTGGACCTGGGTTTTCCCGCTGAGCTCACTGCATCTGGGGTCCCCAGGGTGACTCGACATCTTCCTCCCCTGACCAGCCAGCCCCAACCTGGGCAGGATGTCCCCTTCTCCAGGCGTAGGGCCCATCTGGAGACAGAGATTGACCACATTACTTAGGGCCACGAGCCCCTTCATGGATTCCTTTGCCCAGAGACTGACACAGGGCAATAGGGGGTTCTGTCTGGTAGGATATTAGATATTTACTTAGACGTTCTTCCTTTTTGGAAGCAGCTCAGCAGGAATCTTGCCCATCACGGCTTGAAAAGGGGTAGGGTATTTGATTTACTTAGTTTTGTGTCCTCAGAAGGCTAAGAGTGAGAGAAGCTCTGGAGTCATATGTAGCTTTCCCACTAGGGAAGTGGAGGGGGACGTGGGGCTGGGTGCTCCCCAGGATGTGGAGGACAGGAGCCAAGGGGAGACTGGGAGCAAAGAGAGGGGGCAGTGGGCAGGGGACAGGGACCATGAAGCTTTCAGAGGCCACAAGGAGACACCAGGTGTGGCAGAGCAGAGGAGCAGCAGACGGACTGAGTGCTAGGAAGAGAAAGAGAGCCCTTCCCCGCCCAAATCTTCCTCCAGTCAACCAGAGCTGCCATTTGAGCGCCAACTGGTGCCTCAGCCCCCACATCTGCAGAGGAGGCCCCCCCACTCCCCTCGGGTCACCTTCAGAGGAGGCAGGCAGAGGACCTCTCACCCACTGCCTAGCCTCCATCTCTGGACATAACAAGGGGGTCTGGGTTGAGGGAGAAGAAAAATATGCCACCATCTGAGTGAACAAAACAAACCACCCTCAGCCCCCACCCCCAAATCAGGCAAACCTCCAGCCAGGCAAGAAGGGCGGAGGCTCTCAGGGAAGGGGCAGCGGCTGGGGCATCCAGGGCGCCTGGAGCCCCAGAGAGAATCCAAGGCCAAACAGTTATCAGATCTCCCCCTTCTTCTTTTTTCCTTTTCCTTCCCCCCCACCCAGTCCTTCCTCCATCTCGCTCTACTCTTCTTTCCTTGCTCCCCGCCCTGCTCCAGGCCAGGCGGCCCTTCACACGTAGCACAGGTAGAGGTAAGTCTTCTCTATCCTCCAGTCGGGCGGGATTTCCTCGGGCTTGTGGCCCTTCATGTGCTTCTGCATGGAGGAGAGGCTGGGGCAGTACTCCGTGCAGATGGTGCACTGGTAGGGCGAGGCGCCGTTGTGCGTTCGCAAGTGCTTGATCATAGCCGAGTAGTCCCGGGAGCGCTGGTGGCACAGCTTACACTCAAAGGGCTTCTCACCTGGAGGGGACAAGGCAGAGGAAGTGAGGATGGGCAGCTGGCAGCCGTGGTCACACGGCTACTAACAAGGGCCGTGAGTGCGACTGCCACTGCACTTTGATTTCATCGTAACTGGTTAAATTGGTCACATGCAGCGAGTGGCTACTGGACTGTCCAGCACACGGCCCTAGCCCCTTGTCTTACCTTTTTTAATTTTTTTTTTTTTTGAGACAGAGTCTTACTTTGTCACCCCTGGTAGAGTGACATGGCATCATAGCTTAGAGCAACCTCAAACTCTTTGAGCTCAAGCAATCCACCGGCCTCAGCCTCCCAGAGTGCTATGATTACAGACATGAGCCACCGTGCCTGGCCGTGTTTTACTATACTTAACTCTCCCAAATTCATGGTCTTTGCCCTCTCTGATTAAGAAAATGAAGGCCTCGGACGGGAACACTAAGGCCCCAGAAGCTCAGGGGAGGGCTCTTCAGGCCACAGTTCCATCCAGAGTGAGCAGGTGGATGGAGTCCTTTCCAGGCTGCGGATGGTGGGGAGCAGGGGTGCAGGTAAATCCAGGGAACCCAGTCCTTCAAACATGCTGCCTCTGGGCACACTAATCCCGCCAGAGCACTGAGGACTTGCCCTGGGCCCTGCCTTCCCCACTGGGGTCAGGGAGGCAGAAAGGACCAAGAACCTGGGAGTTTACACCCACACCCTGGCCTGCTACTCCGACCTCCCCTCCGCTAGAGTGCCCTGGAGCTGAGCAGAGGATGTAAGGGAACCTTGTTTCAATACAGTAATTAACTGGCCAGCCATCTCGCCATCGATACTCCTCTGCACGGAGGCCCCAGCAAATAATGAAGTAATGAACAGCCAAAGTGATCTAACTATTGACCAGCTATTTACAATAGTCACTGCCAATGCCTTTAATGATCCAACCACCAGGTCACATCCTCGACAAGGGGCTAAAGGAAACCCCAGGGCTCGGGGAAATCCTCTGGGTCACCACACTTGTCTGAGATGAACACCCCATCCTCTCCTGTGGGCTCAAGCTGGAGGAAAAAAAAAACAAAAACTGAGCTCTGACAACACACAGCTCACTGCTCCCTGTCTGCTCTGCCCCACCTCCCACAACAACACACTCTCCTCCAAGCCAGCAGGACCTGCCTGAGGTCAGCTCTCCCCCTTCCTCTGGACAGGATAGCTGTCTCCCAGAATCAGGCGAGTCTTCCTAGTTTTCCAGGTTCCACCATCTCTTATCCTCAGATGAGGTCCTCTGACTATCTACGTCCCCCTCCCCAGCAGCTGAGGTCCTCTGACTATCTACG